TTTCCCCATCCTATGCCGGTATTGTCCGAAAGCGCCGTGTCCACTTAGGAATCGGGTGAACCAGAGGGACAGCATCATTTCTTTCCGCCTATTATACCACGGAGTGATATCAGGCATAAAGCGATGCATCCAGACATTGTTTCCACTGTCAGACCATCTCCACTACACTTCATACAGTGTCTGCATCTTCTATATCTTCTTCCCTGCATTTGTCAAACCCGCGCTTCGACGTCTTTCGTCAGCCATTATGAGGTCATTCATAATCCTGGTCACTTCCGTGGAAATGGTACACTATCCGCGGCATATTCGCAAAGCCAATCCACGCTGGCAAGTATTCACTCTCTGGAGATACGCTTTGGTCTTCACGCTGGCGCCCAAAGCTCCGCAGCGTATAATATCATGGACTGGACCACCGAGATTATAAGCCGTCTCTTGTCTTCCCCGCCCCCCCGGTTCTGGACATTATTCTACTCAGAGCCTTCGCCGTCTTCTCCGCCTTCTGGGTGACGTACGCCAGGTGCTTTCCAAACGACAAATGGCAGTCAAGAACTAGACCGAGGTACTTGAGTTCTTTCTTGCTTCAGATCTCCTCCTGACCAATGGAAAAGTGGAACGGACAGAATTTTTTCCTTCCGCTAAGGAAATTACTTTTGTCTTATCAATGGCAAATTTTCGGCCCTTCTCCGTAATTTCCCTTTTCACCAATCTCAGTGCGTGGTACATGTTTGTCTGTAGCTTGGTTTCTTTCCTAGCAGTGGCAATTATTGCCAGGTCGTCTGCGTATGCTACCAAATGTACATTTCTATGAGCTGATACGCTTAATACGCTATCATAGGCGATATTGCACAACTCCGGTACCAAAACGGAGCCTTGGGGTACCCCGCAAGTAAACGCTCTGCTGCTGTCATCTCCCAAGTTGAGGTAACAATCCATCAAGTAATTAGCTATCAGTCTCCTAATGTGTGCAGAAATATCTATCCTGACAAATTCTTTGTGTATGACCTCCCATGGAATTAAAAGCATTACCTATTTACATCCACTGTGACCAGGGTACAGATCCCTCGTGTCTTCAGTTTTTCGTTTCTCTTTTGCAGCGATGTTGCACATCTCTTTAATTGCGTCCACAGTGCTTCTACCGGGTCTAAGCCATATTGTTTCGGGGGAGACTCCACCCTTACGCCTAATTCCTCGTTTAAACGCGCCGTTATTACGTGGTCCAGTAATTTCCCCATACAGTTTATTAGACTTATTGATCGGAATCAAATCCGCTATTTGACCAGACCTGACCTGACCTTTTCTTTTCTTGGAGGAGGGAAAACCTTCAAAAGGTTCCCCGCGAGAGGATGTTCAATTTCGCGGGGGAGTGGGAGATTTCTACCATCCTAAAACCTTTCCTGTTCACCCAGATCCAGGCCAGAACCGCCTTACAGCATATCTTCGGGAAGGACCCTTACAGCCACTCATCACATGGTCTGTCTTCTCCGTTCTTCTGCATCTTTTTGCCCCATTATATAATTTATATTAAACTCCACAGCCTTCCCTTTCCTTTCATTGTCTATCATTATGTCAACTAGATGGTTCTGGCTTATTGTGGCCTCTACGTCTTCATTCAGCTCTTCCCATCTATTTTTGAACTATCGGCATATGAATAGGGTATGCCTAGTATCATCATCATCTTCACAAAACATGCATTTCGAGCTGGTTCTCTTTCCAAACCTTTTCAAATATCCCATGAAATAGCCATGACCTGTCAAAGACTGGGTCATGTAGTAGTTGCTTTCACCTTGGCTTCTTTTTATCCATGCTTTTATATACAATGTCTTCCTCTTTGAGCATATCAGTTGTATTGGTACAAGGCCAGCATCACCATCCCCGCCATACCTTCTGTCGTACGGTAGACCTTTGCTACCCTGAGCGCCATCTGCCTCTGTACAGCCAAGACTTGTTCTTTATTCCCTTGCTTACCTAACGTCTCCACCCACACGGGTGCTCCATATGTTATCACTGACTGGGTGGTATAGGCAAGAATCCTTCTTTTGTTGCTGCCAGCTTCTCCTATATTCCGTAATAAAGTGCTCACGGTCTTTACAGTTTTCACTGCTTTCGGGCATACCTTGCTTAGGTGATTGGAAAACGTCATTCCTCTATCTATTTTCAAGCTTAGGCAATCTATCTCTGTGACCGGAAATATTGTATACTGACGGAATGGTTCTTCCCCATCATTATTATTGTGGTCTTGTCTTGTGCGATTTCTAATTCGTTTAACCGGATCCATAGATGTATATATATTCCTAAGTACTTCATTTCCGTTCGTTCGGAGCATACTATAATCCTTGGCCACCATCACAATCGTTAAGCCATCTGTACAGCAGATGATCGTCACTCCTTCGGAAGTTTTTATTTTCATTACATAGTCATACAAGTCGTTCCACAATAAGGGACCCAGTACCGACCCTTGTGGGCCCCCTCGCTCCTGCCAATTTGCATCTCATTCACGTCGTCTAAGAGCACTTTTCTTTCTTTAAAATATGAATGGCCACTGCCAAATCTAGAGCGGCTGCACTATGGTTAACATTAATTTGCAGACCCGCGAACATGACTGCTAATGGGCTCTTTCCCCACCTCAGTCAGCGAACTGACCTTCTTCCTTCTCTCTTTATTAAGTGCCGAAAGCTTTACGTACTCCATTGCCTGCCTTGTGCCTTTATGTCTCGCACAGTGGGTAGTAGGCCTCCTCCGTACAGTCTCTTTTGACATGTCCCGTACCTGCGCACATATGACACATTCGTGTCCATGTCTACACCTCCAGTCTCTTGCTTTCTGGTCATACGACCAGCATCGGTAGCACCTCTCTATGTTAATCCTTTCAAGGATACGATATTTATTTAGGCCTATTCTTACATGCGCTTGTCTTAATAGTCTTTTATTTCATTCTTATCGGTTGATGGATTCACATCTTGTACATGCAAGATCTTTGATCTTTTTTTTTCACGAAAGGAGAAACCCTCATGGGCACCAGAGACTTAGGTTCGGGCGTCCCTGGTAGTGCCAGGACTTTTACCGGCTAAAACCCCTTCCTCGACCCGCTGTCGTCCAACACCCCGGGACCCCGTTAGCATTACTTCAGGGGGGTAGTTGGTCGTCATTTCCTTTTTCCTTATCCATCGTAATCTTTTGCCCCTTTTTTTTCCTTACTTGATTTCTTCAGGCACCTTGTTGTCCATTCGTTATGTCCGTTTCTCTTCTTCTTTCTTTTTTAGCTCGTTTCTTTCCTTATTGCTCATTATCCTGGCAATGTACTTTCTGATGTTCTCGAAGTTTTCCTTTCTCTGCAGCATGATATCTACCAAGTTTTCGGTCGTAAAGTTGCAGCCTACTTCCATATAGTATTTCCTTCCAACTGCCATTAACGGCTCCGTTTTGTGGGCAGCGATCTTGAGTCCCTTAGTTTGCATACATTCGGATACCTTCTCCAGGGCATTGTTTGCTGGATCCATCAGCTCTTGTTCCCCTTTAGCTGTTGCTGTTATTAGTAGGGCATTAGCATACACAAGAAGGAAGAATGTGGCAACGCTGCAGAAACGTTCTGTTTCATTTTTCGCTACAAAAATCTCGAATTCGGGACTTGTACGGGAAATTTAATTGAAGAGAACAGTGCCAATACGATTCCAGATGATCAAAGACAAACGAGGTGAGGAAAATCCGAACTAAGTTAACAAAGTGTGCAAGAAAGCCAAAACAAACCTAGTGAGGTTAGTTGATAAGACGGAAAAATACGGTGCGATAAGACAACGTCTGATCGCGGTATTGCCGGACTGTGCGGAAAAGCGGCGGTGGCACGGAGAGAAATACTAATTTCCGAGGAGTTGATCCGAATTAGTTTTCCTAGCGCTGTGCCCACAATACGCGGATTAAGAAGAAATGAATTCAACATTTAAGGACATCACCGATAGCGACGATTGCACGTCTGACGACGGTAAAAGAAAAAGAGATAATAAAGAAGAAAAAGCATTTATAAAAAGTAAGAAAATTTATAGATCGCCGGAAAAAAAAGCCATGGAAAAAAGCGATCCAAATGAGGAATTACGAGAAATGTTGAGTACACTGTTGATGGACAACAAAAATAAAGCGAAGGAAATGGTTGAACTAAAAGAAATGATGGGAAGTATGATAGTTGAGATGAAAGAAATAAGAAAGGAAAACAACGAATACAAAAACCAAATGAATAGACTAGCAAAAGAAAATGAGGAACTAAAAAATTCAATAAAGGAAATGAACCAGAGGATGGAAATTGTTGAATCGGCTCTAGAAATGTGTCAAAGGGACAAGAAGAGAAATAATCTAATTGTCAAAGGATTAAAAATAGATACAAGTCAAAATGAAATCATAAAGGAAGCCATGGAAAATTTTATAAAAAAAGAATTAGAAACGGAGGTGGAGATAAACAAGGCCTATAAAATAAATGAAAAGACCTGTATTATGGAATTGAAATATTTTGAAGATAAAGTAAAAATACTCAGAGCGAAAGGAAAATTGATTAATAGGAAAGGCGAGGCAATCTACATCGATTGTGATCTAACGAGAAAGGAGCAAGAAACCCAAAAAAGACTAAGGGATATTGCAACCGAAGAAAAAAAGAAAGGAAAAATAGTAAAGAAAGGTTATAACTTCCTAGTTATAAACAATGAGAAGTGGAAGTGGAATAGTAAAGCAAACAACATAACTCGACAAATCGAAGTTGATCCAAAAAACTAAAGACATATGCTCCGAAGGATAAAAATAAAAAGACAAATGCTGTGAAAATGGATAAGAATATGGTTTTAAATAGTTTTAATAAAAATAAGGGAAAAGAACAAAGGAGTAAAAGGGGTAAACAAAAAGTAAGGAATAGGAGAACGATAGGAAAATATCCTATAAAAAATACAGAACAAAAAAATAAAGCAAAGGAAATTAAAGTACGTATAGGAACATGGAATATTAGGAGTATAACAGGCAAGGAAATGGAACTAACATCAGAATTTAAAAAATCTAACTTGAAGTTACTGGCACTAACTGAAATAAAGAAAAAAGGAGCAGGAGAAATGATCGTGGAAGATTGCACTATAATGTATAGCGGTGTAGAATCATCAATATGGGCACAAGCAGGAGTGGGATGTATTGTCAAAAACGATTTTATGAGCAGAATAAAAAGGTGGGAAGGAGTTAATGAACGAATTATGGTCGTTGAAGTAAGATTTGATGAGGACGAGTTTTGGACAGTTATAATAGTATACGGACCCAATGAAAATGACAATAAAAATAGTAAAGAAAAATTTTGGGATGAATTACAGGAAGTGTATGAGAAAAGTAGCAGTCCCATCTTGATAGTTGGTGATCTGAATGCTAGAGTGGGCAGTGAAGCAAGAAATAGCAATGGGGTAATAGGAAGTTTTGGAGAGATAATTAAAAATAAAAATGGCGAACTATTAATTGACTTCTGTAACTCAAACGAGACTAATAATTTTGAATACATGGTTTCAACACAAAGAAATACACAAATTCACCCGTGTTGCCCCAACACGAAATGAAAAGTCAATCATTGATTATATCATAACAGAAAAAAATCTGAGAAACAAAATACACGATGTTAAAGTCAGTAGACTTCCGGAATTGGGCAGTGATCACTTCCTAGTTGTGGCAAAAATGAATCTAAAAGAAGCGAACATTTCCAAAAACACAATGAAAGCAACAAGTAAAGAGAAGAGAACTGTAAGAACACATAAGTTAGCCAATGAAGAAATAAGAAGCAATTTCACAAAACTTACAGAAGAGAAATTTAAAGGAATGGAGGTACAGCAGCAAACACTCGAACAAAGGTGGAAGTTCTTTAAAGATACAATCTATGATGCAGCTAGAAAAGTTTGTGGATTTACTACAACAGGAGGATCTAAGAAAAGAACTAGCTGGTGGAGTGAAGAAACAAAACTCGCTATTAAAGAGAAGAAAAAATTATGGAAAGCTTATCTAGCAAAAAGTACAAGACAATCATACGAAATGTATAAAGAGGGCAGAAAACTAGTCAAAGATATAGTGAAGAAAGCAAAAGTGAAGGAATGGGAACAATTTGGCGAAAAAATGGAAGAAAACAGCAAGCAAAATCAAAAATTGTTCTACGGCGTTCTGAAGAGAATGAGAGGAAAATCAGGAGGATCCTTAGGACAGATAATGAACAAAAACGGGGAGTTGCTTACGGAACCTGCTGATATTGTTGATAGGTGGGGAGAATACTTCTCAGAACTTTTAGAAGCAGATGAATCAGAAGAAACACCAAATGATCATCGAAGCAACTACAAAACAATCAGAGACGAAGACATTTCGATACAAGAAGTAACTGCAGCCATTAGAAAACTGAAAAACGGGAAAGCAGCAGGCATTGATGACATTAAAGCGGAATGGCTGAAGTATATGGGACTATCAGCGATCAAATACTTTTGTAATATAATGAATGAGGCTTGGAAACAAAAACGAATACCTGAAGACTGGTCAACTGCAGTGATCACCCCTATATTTAAGAAAGGAGACAGAAAGAGGTGTTCGAACTATAGAGGAATTTCGATACTAAGCGTACCAGGGAAAGTATATGAGATTTTACTAGAAAAGAAACTAAGAGACTCGATAGAAAATAGTCTGCACGATGCGCAGAGTGGATTCCGACCCGGACATAGTGTACAGGACCATATCTTCACCATTAAGCAATTAACCGAAAAGTTCCTGAAACACAATAGAGAGCTGTACATATGTTTTATAGATATGGAAAAGGCCTTCGATAAAGTCCCTAGGAAATGTATTTGGGAAGCATTAAGAATAGCTGAAGTCGAACCCGGACTAATTGAAGCAATCAAATCCACTTACAAATCAAGCTGGAACATAGTGAGAGCACTTAATTGTGAATCCCCAAGATTTGGAACAACCCAGGGAGTGAGACAAGGGGGGGTGCTGAGTCCACTATTGTTCTTGATATTCATGAATGGCATCATAAATAAATGTAGTGCACAATCCCAAAGAACAGAAGCTGGTTACCATCGATTAAGAAGCATTAAAGTGAGTGAATGTATATTTGCAGATGACATTGCACTAATAGCGAGCTCCGAGCAAGCACTTCAAACCAATCTAAACATTTGGACCAGAGAACTATCGGTTAACGGAATGACAATCAATCTTGACAAAACAAAAGCCCTAGTCATATCCAATTCTCCTAAAGAAATTAACATACTTCTGAATGGAAATAAAGTGGAGCAAGTAAAAGAATATGAGTATTTAGGAGTCAAGATAGATGAAGAAGGAAAACTACAAAAAGAACTAGACAGTAGAATTGCGAAAACAACAAAACTATACCATTCCTTGAAACAAGGTTTTATTAATAAGAAAGAAGTCAGTAAGAAGACAAAAATAACTATTTACAAGACGGTATACCTCCCTACACTCCTGTACGGATGTGAGACATGGACCCCTACTGAAAGACAAAGACATAAAATACAGACAGTTGAGATGAAGTATCTACGCAGAGTACAAGGAGTAACAATAATGGACAAAATCAAGAATGAGACAATTAGGAATAATCTCAATGTAGAGAGCGCCAACAGTGTAATTGAAAGATCACAACTAAGATGGTTTGGACACTTAAACAGGATGAACCAAGATAGACAAGTCAAGAAAATTTGGGAAGCTAGAGAATATGGTAAAGTAAGAAAAGGAAGGCCACGTAAACGTTGGAATGACGTGATTTCTGAAGCACTACAACGAAGAGGAATTACCTGGCCTGAAGCGAAACAAACGGCACTCAGTAGAAAACAGTGGAGAGAACTCATCAGGAAGTAATGGACATCTATCCCTCAACACCTAACGGTAGAAGAGGAACCGGTTATATATATATATAGCATACACAATGACTTTGACTCCATGCCATAAGGGTAATTTCAGGACCCCGTCGTAAAGTACATTCCATAGGAGGGGCCCAAGAACACTGCCTTGTGGAACACCCGCGTTTACTTTCATCAAGACGCCATCATCCACCTCCAGCATTCCACCGTCGAGGTAGCTCCCCAGCATTATGACTAGATGTCCAGGTAGGTGTTTTTTGTACAGCTCTTCCATAATCTTGTTCCATGGTGCGCTATTGAACGCATTTTCGACATCGATAGCTATTATCGCTACCAGCTTACGGCTCTTGGATGATTTCTTGAGCTCACTGATAGGTCATCTTCTCTCAGCCCAGTTCTGAGCCTGTCAGCGATCACATGTTCGTACAATTTGCCCATTGTGTCCAAAAGACACTGATCTAAAGTCCGAGGGGCGCATCCCTTGACCTGACCTGACCTGACTTAACCAGATCTGACCTAACCCTGAAAGTATCAGAACCTGCAATTTTGGTATTTTGGGACTGCAAATATGGCACTTGAGGTGTCCTAAAGGTTGATAAACTTAGTCAAAATGAGTCACTAATTCTGAGATGAAAGAGAAAACCTGACAGAGCGTCAGCAGGTTTTATAAAAGTGCAACAGTTTTATAAAATTGCAAGTTGTTGTAAGTAGTTGCTTTGAATTAATTCATATTTTGTGGAGGTTAACAGTTTACGTTTTAATACATGGCTGGGTGTTATCAATGTAAAAGAAATAACAAGGTATTTTCTTGTGATGCCTGCAAACAGTCTTATTGCAAAGATTGTGCAGAACTTTCTGAAACAGAAATTAGAGCTCTCGAACTAAAAAATCGTAAAATGAGATTCTTTTGCAAAAAATGCGATGATGCTATGGCTCTAATTCCTCAGTTGACTGATTTAATAAAAAGTCTGCAAGATCAAATTAATCAACTTAAAGCAAATTATCAACAACAAACAACAAATATTTGTATTAATGAGTCGGATATTACTGATGAAATACATGATCGTATTAATCGGTCAAAAAATGTAATTGTTTATAATGTGGCGGAACTAAATTCAACTGAAGTAAATAAAAGAATTGAGCATGATAATAATTTGGTTAAAAAAATTATTAATGAAGATCTAGGAATAAATGCTAATATTAAGAAAGTCATTAGAATAGGTAAGGTCATAAATGGGAATATTTCAAAATGTAGGCCATTAAAAGTCATTTGTAAGGATTCGGAGGATGCATTAGATATATTAAGGAACAGGAGTAAATGCAAAAATAATGTTAAGATTAATAATGATCTCACTCTGATGCAACGTGAAAAACTAAAACGAGTTAACACTGAACTGATTGAAAGAAAATCGAATGGAGAAATGAACTTGACGTTAAAATGTATGAGGGGTGTACCCACAATAACTACAGCAAATAAACCTGAACAAAAAAACTAAAGTCATTTCTTATGCTTGAGAACATAAATATTTATTTTCATAATGTAGATGGCTTAAGGACCAAAGTAAATACTCTTCAAAAAAATGTTAGTGATAATGAATATGATGTGTTAATACTTATCGAGACTTGGCTTAACAGTAATTTTAGCGATTCACAATTAGATTTATTTAACTATATCATTTTTAGAGCTGATAGAGATAGTGAGTTGGTTGGGAAGTTTAGGGGAGGAGGGGTCCTTATTGCAATACATAAAAGAATTCCATGTTCAAAAGTTTTAGCAGTTAGTGAGATTTTTGATACGCTCATTGTATCACTACAAGTACGCAAATTTGAGTCAGTCATTATTGGTGCAACGTATATACCTCCTGGGGTGGACCTAGAAGTATATGAAAGGTACTGCTCTATCACTAAGCATGCACTTGAAAGTTGTTTGGATTCTTTGGTGATTATATGTGGGGATTACAATTTGCCTAATGCTATATGGAGTAACATTGACAATACAATGGTGGTCGATAGCAATAATGATCCCAAGGTTCTAAGCATAACAAATTGCTTCTCTTATTTAAATATGTTTCAGATAAATTATTTACCAAATAGTATGAACACTTTTCTTGATTTAGTACTTTCCAATGAAGTTAATTTTACTACTAAGTATGCAGATACACTTATTGTAAATGAATCTATGTTTCACTTAAGCTACATAGTCCAAATTAATTGTTATGCCAAATTTCGTAATCTTGAGATAGAAGAAATTTATTTTGACTTTAACAATGCAAATTTTGAAGAAATAAATTATCGGCTTAATCTTTTCAATTGGGAAACACTCTTTTTATCTCAAGATTTAGATCAAGCGGTGAACACATTTTACTGTATAATATACAATATAATTCAAAATATGGTCCCAGTAAAGAAATTCCGATCTTCCCAATACCCTAAGTGGTTTTCTGGTGAATTGAAAAAACTTATTCGACAGAAAAAACACCTACATACCAAATATAAGGAAACAGGTCACTGTAACGATTATTTTAAATTCTCACAAATCAGAAGACTTTGTAAAGATAAAACACAAGAATGTTATGATGAGTTTATACGTAGAACTGAACAAGACATAAATTCTGATCCCAAACTATTTTGGAAGTATTGGAGAAATAAAAACAATGTCAATAGTTATCCCAATACGATGAAATATAATGAAACGTCGTCTTGCGAAC